CATGCCACAGCAGCAAGCATACTTGTATTCTGGCTCTTCATATCATGTGAAGATTCCATGAAAGACAACTCAATTCATATTCATAGCCACAACAGCAGAGAATGAGTTGGAAATCAGTCAGAATGAGAAGACAACCCTCGTACTTGTGGATTATTACTCTTCATGAACAAAAACCTAAGTATCCCGCCTGTCTCTTCCCTTGGGGTATATCTCTTCCTGAGAGACTCCTTAAGAGTCTTTGAAAACAGTCCTTGAAATGTGTCAAACTACCAGCTTTTCATATGTGGCTGAAGCTTGAGAATACAATTCAGACTTAGTTTGGGATCTCCACAATGTAACAAAATTATGTATAGTATAATACACATGCATGCCCATACATACACATTTAGGTATATAAAAGTCATACCATGCCTATGCAGCTCAAACTTTTAAGAATATCATTCCACATTGATCTGAATGATAAAGTACCAAGAACATAAGGTCCTTGACCTTGAGGAGGTTGCAGTCTCCAGGCAGCCAACCTTAAAAAGGCAGCAGCCTAAATGCACTTAAGGCTTCTATAGACCTGCTGTCAGATGAATACCGCACTAAGTCTCAGATGGCCTTGAAATCTCGTCTGATACACTTTCATCAATCAGCACAGTCATAAAAATATGAGCTTATTACCAAAAAAGAATCATTCTCAGCTATTTGAAATTTCAGTAAAAGTGAAAAAAATAAAACTTATCCCAATTATCCTTATAATGACCTTTAAGATAAGATTGTCGGAACCAGAGGAGTGAGTCAAGGACACCAGGAGAACACAGCCCACAGAATCAACTAAGCAGGGCTCATAGAGATGGAAGTGACAATCAGGGCGCCTGTATGGGTCTGACCTAGGTCCTTTGCATATATATTATGGTTGTGTAGCTTGGGGGTTTTGTGGGACTCTTAACAGTGGAAATAGGAATGTCTCTGACTCCTTTGCCTGCTCTTGGAACCCTTTTCCTCCTACCAGGTTGCCTCATCCAGCCTTAATAAGAAAGTTTATACCTAGTCTAATTACATCTTGTTATGCAATGTTCAGTTGATATCCTTAGGAGTCCTGTTCTTTTCTGAAGAGAAATGGAGGAACAGCAAATCTGGGGGAAAGCAGATATGTGGGGGAACTGGGAGGAGTAGCAAGAAGGGAAACTTCAGTCAGAATGTACTGTATGAGAGAAGAATAAATAAGAAGGGGAAAAAAGAGATTGTAGGGTTTGGTAAATAGGGATATCCTGAACAAACACATTCATAGATTTGCATGTTAATATCTGTGACATGCATGATCTATGATGCTTCTACCTTGCATAAAAGCTGTATTTTTCGAGCAAAACAATAAAAAATGTAGTCTAGTAACCCATGCCTCTAAAGTCCCTTAGGTATTGGCATCATGGGTTAGCAATTTTCTGCTGTGTTTATTATTTTTATGAACAATATTGCATAAGCATCATTGAAATCAAGTATGTGTATATATCTTTGCTTCTAATAAATTCCTAGAATAAAATTACCTGCCTGAAAGCACATTATTGAATATTTGGGTCTCAGTATCTGTTATGCTTCAGGAAAGCTACAGGGATGTACATTCCTGTGTTCTTCTGAATATTAGACTGCATATTTCATAGGAAAACTTTTAAATAAAGACTATGAGAAATACTAATTTACTGGGAAAATATGTACAAGGAATGAAAATGCCAGATTAAAAGGTAAAAAAATTAAGATACTATGAATAATGGGTTCTGGGCTTAAACCTCTTTGAGGTCTTGGGTGGCAGGTAACTCAGTGTTGCTTTGACTCCCAGCAATGGAGAAAGGGGGTTTTAATAAAACTTTGAATCAGGCAGTGCTGCTTGCTGTGTTTGAGTTCTTTTGAACATCCTACACAATCACATATGCACCAGGATGCTTTCTAGCTCTCCTCCTCCTTATCCCTTCCTATCAGAATCCACACTGAAATTCTATGGCACAATGAGATAGGCTACCATATGCACATCATGACCACACAAACCAGAGTTTTCAAAACTCTAAAATGGGATCATTTTTATTATGCTACCCACATTTTTTTTCATTTATATTAGTTCTTTGAGAATATTTTATAATGCATTTTGATCATTTCCATACCTTCTCCCAGTGCTCCAGGATCCATCCCCTTCCCCACCTACCCAACTTGTGTCCTCTTTTGTTTTCTTAACATATCAATTATAGTTTATGCTGATCATATGACCTTGGGTGTGTTGCCTTCATACAAGGGTAATCTACCCACCAGAGTGGCCATACCCTTACAAAGATGACTACCTTTCTCTCAGAAGCTAGCAACTGACAGTAGCTCTGGATGAACAAATCCCAACTCAGAAATAAAAATAACAATAATAACATACCACCACCAAAAAGTACAGATCCCATAGTAACAGCCCCAACGGAAAAGGCATGGAATAACTTCCAAAGACCGTAGAGAATGGTTATAGCCACAGTCAAGCAACTCGAAGAAGACAACGAGGTGGATGAAATAGGAAAGTCAATCTATGACATAAAAATGAAATTTGAATTTTTAAGATCTACGTATTTTGGCATGCCACGTGGCATAGTTCACACAAGGGTTTCCCACAGTGCTGTGAAGGCCATGGTCCATGTGTGCTGCTTGATCAAGAACCTAAGTGGTAATCATTTATAAAGAACAGAAATTTACTTTCTCACAGCCCTGAGGTTTGGAGTTCAAGATCAAGGCATTGAATGTTTTCTGTCTGGTAAAGGCTTGGCTTATTTTTTAGTAGAGATGGTGACTCCCATGTGTCCTCACATAAAGAAATGAATAAATGCCAAAATAAATAAATAAATAAATAAATAAATAAATAAATAAATAAATAAATAAATAAATAAATAAATAAATGGGGGACAGTTGTTCTGTCCTTACACACAGAAGAACGAGATCTTAATCTCACTGATTAAGTCTCCAACCACATAACTTAATTACTCTCACCAAAAAAAAACCCCAGTCCCCAATAGTACCACACTGGCTAGTTTTAACATATTAATTGAGGAGGACACATTCTGACTGTAACATCTCCTGGTCCAGAACAAGAATATTATACAACAGCCCAGGCCTGATGGCACACACTTTAATCTTAGCAGTCAGATGGCTAAGAGAGGAGGATGTTGGAGGCAAAGCCAGCCTGGGATATACAAGGAGTTCTAGACCAGCCTGGGCTACATATCAATGCTCTACCTCAAGGAACAAACAAAAATCTAAAATTAGAGTTTTAAAAGTGCCACAAAACACTCATCACCTATTGATTGCAAAGAATCTTCAACATGAATAAAACATTGAGAAAAAGCTTTAAAAATGAGTTGGCGTAGGTGGGAAGATGGCTCAGTGGTTAAAAGCATGTGCTGCTCTTGCAGAGGACCTGAGTTTGGTTCCAAGTACCTATACCAGAAGGACTCAAACTGCTGGTATCTCCAGATCCAGGGGAACTGATAACCTTTTCTGGTCTCTGAAGGTACCTGCACTCACATGTATCCACCTACACACACACACACACACACACACACACACACACACACACACACACCCCAAAAATAAATAAATGAAATAATTAAGTTTTTAAAAATAAATTAAGGAGCTTCTGGTCCAAGATGTCAGATGGATGAAGCAGGTATCTCTTGGCCACTCAAAGTAGGTTTTAAAATTAAACTTACAACCAAAAGAGACCTGGCAGGAGAGGAGAATCAGTATGGAAAATGTGCTGGAATTTTCTGGTGAGGAAATAGAATGAGCTGCAGGATGAAGCTGAGTTGAAGAAAAAGACCCTAATGGGTGCCGTATAAACCCTGAGGGTGCCACAGTCGGGGAAAGAAAATCCCACAGAGCCTCCATGACGATGCTAAACTTATGAGAGTTCTGTGGAAGCCTCGGGGAGCACCTCATTCTGCATTCTGCACTTCAGACAGTAGTAGCAGTAGCCAGGAAATGAATAAACTACAGACTGCCCCACTGTATGGATGAATGAATGCATTTAGACTGAGGAATGAATGAATGCAGATGGGTGGGTGGGTGGGTGGGTGGGTGGATGGATGGATGGATGGATGGATGGATGGATGGATGGATGGATGGATGGATAAATGGGTGGTGGATGGATGTACCTACAGGGGAGCAGAGCAGACAGCCTGACAAAATCTGCAGGGATTTCCAGCTGATTCTGAAGCTAAGCTCAACTGAAAAAAAAATAAACAAAGTCAGAATGGTAAAGATTTCATTTCAACTCCCACAGGCTACAGAGAACCCCACTCCCTGCAATAAGCTTGTTAATTCATGCTGACATTTGCTGCCTTCAGCCTCACACTATGGCATGATGTCCCCAGAGAAATTAGAACAGGCTTGAAAAGGCAATCCTACTAGCTCTGATCTTCTAAGATGAAGGTTATCAAGTCTGTACTTACACCATGAAGCGATCCCCGGATCGCTGTTTCCTGGTATTTACAAAGGCACAGGGCCTGTTTTGGAGAACAAGCTGGGGAGGTAGGAGTCTGTTCCCCAGAGGCTACCCATGCAAGGAAACGCCCATTAACTCAGAAAGCTCATGAAAGGAGCCTTGGGAAATGTTTAGGTAGAAAGTACTTGCAACAGGCCAGCAATTAAACCACAGCTATCCTCCCAAAAAGTCTCTTCAAATCATCTTGTTTTTATGAAGGTCATGTAGCAATGTAATTCCATCCCAGCGATAGTCTATTCCTCATCCTCCCCCCCCCCCCGCACTCCCGGCCCCCTACGGGGAATCGTGTTTGGGGCTGAACTTATACATAGTTGTAATTCCCACAATGAAGGCTTGCAACATATCCCCCCCCCACCCCCGTCCATACTGTGTGCTCTAAATGTCACTTTGAAAGCTGAGTTAACAGCCTGCAATCCATCCGCCTCGCTTCTGTACTCGCCATCACACACAGCTACATCAAAAGAGCCATTCAAACAGCGCATCCCGGACTTACATTATCAGCAGACACTGCTTTAATTAGCAGTGGTTCTCAAGGGGCTGGATGGCTTCAAGAACTGGATTTGAACCAGAAAGCAGAAATCTGGATCCTTATCAGTTTCACTTCTTAACTCCCCCTGGGTTCTACCAGTCACCAGCCCTCAGCTTTTGTCAACCGGGGGTGCACGAAAACACTGGCTAGGATTTCGCCACTCTTGAGCTCCTGGCTTTTTTTCTCAACCTGCTGTGATGCCGAGGGGCTAAAATTAAAGCAGCGAGAGAGCTGAGATATCTGTGTCAGGTGCTCTGCAGGAGGTGGTGAAAACCTCAAAACAGACCGAGTCACAGGAGAAGGGGCCATTTTGGAAATGACATTTTAAAACAGGTATCTATATGTTCTAAGTTTTCATTACCGATGAACCCACAATGTTGTAACATTATGAGAAAATACTGTTTTATTTTGATCTTTCTATACAAATACCAAGACTCTTAATTTTCTTCACTTATTCCACGACATTCTCCCATGATCAAATTCCTGAATTGTTATTGTTTCTCAGTTTTAAAAAAAAAATCGCAAAAATATACCATTTAACACATGCGTACTGAACTATGAATTCCAAACTTTAAAAAGGCTTCATCTAGTAGCAATAACTTCTACCAACACATTTTACGTATTAAAAAAGAAAAAAATAAGCTTTCTCAAGATCGCTTATATTTGCAAAGGATTCACTGAATCCACAGCCAGAGGACGTTTTTCATACACATAAAATGCTACACAGTTCAGCATTTCTTGATAAAACAATCTAACCTCTCACTTTGTAGATAAGGAAACCACAGGGGAAGTGATTTGTCAAAGGTCACATAAACACATTTTTTTTTTTTTTCTAATGCTGGGCTCCTTGAGGAGGATACCCACCCCTGTTAGCGGCCACTTAGAAATCCTCTTTGCCCTCAACACACCTGCACCCCAGAGTCACATGCTGGCACTTAATGTGGATTTTGTAGACAGGTAAGGTTGGGATCAAAACATCTGGTTCATCATTCTCCCAGTCTCACTCACCGTCCTTGACAGGTGCACAGTAGGTCTTCAGTTCCCACTGCCTTCCCAGCATCTTACCACCCTCTCTTCTTTACTTAATGGGCATGGATTCTTCAAGATCGTTTATTATTTATTTGTTACTGGCTTTAAAAGAGAAGGGGCTAGAAATATGTCAGGGTAGGCTTGTTCTTACGAAAAAGGAAATGTGTGGAAAAGGCAACGGTTGGTTTCTACCAAACTGTGTGCGGCTGTATCTCTTCACCTGAGGTAAAGCCAGGATTCCCAATGCTCAGAAGAGAGATGGAAAGCCCCCACACACCCCGTACCTTCAGAAAATACTGTTTTAACCAGTAAACTCTCCAGCACCTGATGCAGAAGGAACAATCCTACAACCTCTTTAATTGATTCTCAGAGAGGTTTTGTTTCCCCGAGGAATAAAAAGAAATAAATTACTAAATAACAATAAATAAGTTAGCCACATCATTCCATAAGATTCAGAAGTGACGCTGAATCCAGAAACCCAGAGAAACCTGCGCTGAAGTTCCTCTGTGTGCACTCTGGCTGAGGGATGGATGGTTACTGAGGAACTTTCTGTAGCATTTTGCCTGTCTGGGTTTTGAAAATAATTATTTCCAAAAAGTTTTTTTGGCTATTGACTTATTATAGAGTGCTGGAACTCTTTGGAGAGGAAAAAAAAGGCCAATAAATAAAAGATACACTGATAATTGAGCCATCCTGAAAGATGTGCCAAGTGGAAGAGTTGAATGCACAGTAGGCAACTCAAATATATTAGAGAGAGCAGCCACATTGTTAATCATGCTAGAATGCCCACCATTGCCCATGTGATGCGCGCGCGCGCGCGCGCGCACACACACACACACACACACACACACACACACAGCCAGCAACAGCAAAAGGGAATTGAAATATAGGTGTAAATTAACTTATACTCACTAAGTGATCAGACAGAATGGCCACACAAGGGAACTTCATCAGTGAAATCACAGCACATGGCACAGCAGGAATCATTTGTTCCAAAACAAGTAAGTCCAGACCAATGAAAAGGAAAGTTTCATCTTTCCTGTATGTTGACCACCACCAAAATTAACTGGTTAAATATCCAATAATTGTGCCACCTTACATTCAGAGATTTACCACTCTTCTATTATGGAAATTTTCCTATAAGGAATACTGTATAAATCAGAAGCAATATTCATGCATACTTAACAAGTAACACAACAGAAGTAACGGCAACAAAAACTTTTTATCATCTGTCTTCAATATTGACTACTTGATGCCAATTAACTCTAACAAGACATGGTTAAAAAGAAAAGCAAATAAGTAGATATTATGGGAAAATATGTTACTGCATAAACACTCTATAATTGTCCCATTGTTAAGACATTCTGATGAATAATTATGGACTTGCTACCACAAATCTATATGAGAAATTGGAATATCTGTGCTGTGTCTGCCTAGAATATTTCCAAGCTACTATTTATGCTTATTATTCATAATCCACGTAGAATAATTAAAGCTTACTGATTGTCTTAAAGAAAAAGCCTTTGTCACATTCTCTGCCTCATTCAAAACAGCCATTCAGAGGCACATACTTATTTGAAAATCCCTTTTCCTAGGAACATTTCCACCTGTGTTATACCCAACAAAACACAATGACATCAGGAATTATAGCAAAAACATTAACCCTATACTTTTCTCTTTGCTAAGAAATTTGTTCTTATACAGTAACTAATTTTCCTTCTATTGATGGAGCTATGGCTTTTACTTAAAGAGTTAAGTTTCCCTAGGTTATCACCGAATTTTAAAGGCAGAATCCTTCATATTTCATATTTTACTACAATGATTAATACTTTACTTTTATTTCTTTTCATTGTATTCCAAACTAATCAAAATGAACTTCTCTCTGAAGTCAAAAAATATTGTGCAGTAATATGTAAACATATATGTTGTTGGATAAGTCATTTTTAAATTCAAAATAAGTCAAGCATTAAACATGAAAAGTACAATTTAAGTTTTCACCTTCTTATGTCATATTTCCCATTGAAATTCTAATCATCAGTTGCCTTATTTACCATCTAGAGAGCTCCTTCTCCTGAAGGAAGCAATATTTACAACATTCCAAAATTGACTACAGTCTTGCTTTGCATCTAACAAATTTCAATATAAAATGAGTTAAAGCACACACTCTCATTGTTATTTTATGATATCATTGAACCTTCAATACTTGAGACAGTGAAAATGTGTTCTGAGACACATCACAATAAAACAATAGGGCTTATTGGATTTATGCATGATATTTAGTTGGTTTTATCATCTTTTAAACCACATTACATTAGAATGCCCTAAGGTACATGGCTATTTTTACTATGTTAATGTATGAATTGTTTCTTTTCATTTCAAGATTTCAATTACTATAAATATGAGTAATGTTTTTGCTGATGTACGTTAGTCTAAATAAGAAGTATTTGAAGAACAGCCAGGATATTTTGTATTGGTTTTGCTTATTTACTAAGACATACTAAACAGAAACTAATACCTGTTTTTAAACTACTTCAAAATTTACTTTATGTTATAGATTTTGGTGACGCACAACTTGAAGCTACTGTTATATTAGATGCAAGTTATATATAAAGTTATATATATATATGATCAAAAGACTAACTTACATGCTCACATATGATCTCATAATTACATTCCAGAGCACACAGTTCCTCATAACACTCCACATAACACTCAACTGCCTCTGAAAGCATGTTAAGACATGTCACACTCATCCATGAGCTTAAGAAACACTAAATCAAGCTCCAGTGTATCCCACAGATGTATGTTAAATACAAAAGAAGTCTCAAAAAGTACAGTTCCTAGTGTTCTCCGAATGTTCTGAGAACAGCCAGAACCACTTTTGGAGGAAGTCATCAGAAAAAAATTCAGAGTTCTTAGGAACACAGTTGAGGATGCCCAGGATAGGAAACTAACATCTGTGGTATGGAAATGGCCACACTGAAATATGTCACAAATTGCCCCCCCAACCTGTACCATATTCCACAAGCCTTAGCTTTAGTGTAATCTGATTTTGCAGGATCGATGACGGAGACATCAGCATGCTTCATACATGATTTCCCAAGGACTGGGAATGTACTTATAAATCCATGTGAACTGATTTTTCATTATGATGTTTGACAATTTTGTATGATGGCCACCTGATTATGAGTGACTTCACTCAGCACTGACAAATGTAGAAATCTTTGAAAGATCCAAACGTCACTATTTTTTCAGAATATTAATTACATGAAAAGAAAATAGCACTTGTCTCAAACACAAGGGTACCCACATTTGTTAAAAAAAAAAATACTAAAGCTTAAATCACACATCTACCCCACACATTAATAGTGGGAGACTTCACCACCACTCTCTCACCAATGGACAGCTCATCCAGACAGAAACTAAACAGAGAAATAGTGGAACTAACAGATGTTATGACTCAAATGGACCTAACAGATACCTACAGAACATTTCACCCAAACACCAAAGAATATAACTTCTTTTCAGCACCCCCATGGAAACTTCTCCAAAATTGACTATATACTGGTCACAAAGCAAGTCTTAACAGATACAAAAAAATTGAAATAGCCCCTGTATCTTATCGAATCATCATGGCTTAAAGTTGGAGTTCAATAACAACAAAAAATACAGAAAGCCTACAAACTCATGGAAACTGAATAGCTCTCAACTGAATTACTAACAGGTCAAGCAAGAAGTAAGAAAGAAATTAAAGACTTTCTAAAATTCAGTGAAAATGAACTCACAACATACCCAAACTTATGGGACACAATGAAAGCAATGCTAAGAGGAAAGTTCATAGCACTAAGTTCCTGCATAAAGAATTTGGAGAAATGTCACACTAACGACTTAATAGCACACCTGAAAGCTCTAGAAGAAAAAGAGGCAAATTCATCTAGAAGAAGCAAAAGGCAGAAAATAATCAAACTCTGGGCTGAAATCAATAAATTAGAAACAAAGAGAACAACACAAAGAATCAATGAAACAAAGAGTTGGTTCTCTGAGAAAATCAACAAGATAGACAAACCCTTATCCAAACTCACTAAAGGGCAGAGAGAGAATATCCAAATTAACAAAATCATAGACCAAAAGGAGACATAACAACAGTGAGGAAATCCAGAGAATCAGTAGGTCATACTTCAAAAACTTGAACTCCACAAAATTG